GAACCTCAAAGCATGTGAGTGTGTATGTCTGAGTCTTCTTGACTCGTTAGCTTGAATTTTGTTGTGACGATATTACCTCGCTCTGATGATTTCCGTCATGTGACGGACGAAAGCTTAGCACCTTTTCACCGGAATCGAAGGATATTTCCTCGGAAACAGCGTCACCATCAATCTTCCAGTAAAACTAGTCGACAGCTGGTCAAGAGGAATCCGTTGCTGGTCGTTTTCTGGTAGAACCGACCTTCGAATCTCTTCACCCAACACTTTCACTCGAAATGGAAGTAAGCTCGACAATTATGAAACACGAGATTCCTAAAAACCCAAATTTTCTTACCAATTTACTAAACCTATTACATAGCATTAAGTATATCGATGCAGATTCTCGTAAATAACAGTTTTCAACGAAAATGGTGCCTGTCACATAACAGACAAAAAACCTCAGCATGGGTTTATTGGAGTCGCAATGTGGTGAGTGGATTGCTTCACTCGGAGGCAATAGTTCTTCAGTTTCCGGTGAGGCTAATTCACGAATTCCTCTATGCCAATCTTTCTTTCAAAATGAAGTTGAGTCACACCTCCAAATTGGCTTGAACTGATGAGTTTCGAGAGTCATCTAATTCTATGAACAATTAACTGATTGTCAAGTGGAATAATAAACTAACGAAACCAACTATAGGTATTGTGCTGCCGAATGCCCATCAAACCCGGACGACCGACGGAACATAGCTACATTGCTAGATCGAAACCTGGGCAACCCCAGCAAAGCCATAACATTCTATCGGATAGGCTTAGCTAAACCGACAAACTTGGACTAGACTTGATGAAAATGAAAAGTGACGATGGTGGTCTCATTCTGTATTCGAATGCCGCACCAAAATGCTGCTTTTTGGTGCAGGCCAGACGGAAGTTAGGTAAGCTAAATGAGAGGGAAGAGGCGAAAAAATGGCATAAGTTACCAAATGGTAGTTGCCAAATGACAGAAGTAGACAGAATCCATGAATACCTCTGATAACAAGTGGACAAGGTAGCCGAAAAAGCAATTGCCTTTTGCCACATTATGCATGGGTCAAGCGTGGTTAAAGGAGGGAAGATAGAGAAAAACAAAGTGGCAATTTATAAACTATGCAATAGTGCAGTGTTTGCATTCACCCAAAGAGGAAAAAATCCTTCCGGAAAGTACCGGAGCTCCTCGTATTGGTACCAGCACTCAAGATTCAGTTCGGCTGGCCGCGAGTCAGGACGATTCTCTACAGTTGACGGCAGAGAAAGAGTGGGCAATAGGGGAAAAAGTGGTAAAGGGTGTCCAGGCGTAACTGTGCTGTGGCGCATAGGCCTACAGAGAGGGTGATTTATACAAATGAATCGGGAGTCGCCCACAAGTCTACCAAACACAGAAATGTCTCTACCACTGGCCCATTGACGTTGGACTGTGAGTTGCCCGAGCGCTAGTAGCCCCAACAGCAACCCAACATCCGCCCAGGTCGCATCACACCAGTCCCACCGCCTGTCGTCGGGACAGACGGATTTGCTCGGCCAACACTGGCCGAATGAGCCCGCCCATCGGGTATATGCGCTCAGGTACGTATGTACATTGTGCATGTGTCTAGGAGGTTGTATTCGAGACAAGGTGTAAACGCATCCTATGTAGTGTATATTGTTGTAGTGCAAATTCTCAGAGTGAACAACAAGCATTGCAATTTGGAGCAAACTTTGGTGGTAGATTATAAACTAAATTGGGAGTCTGGGCAGGCCAATTGTAGGTTGGCCATGGCGCAGTACTGTACATGTTCCGTCCAAACCCTTGGCCGGTCCATACGGTTTCGCTGGTAAAACTCTCTCTCTGCGCTTCCACAGTCTCCAGATGGTTGGCCAAGCCATCCTCGCCGGGCAGTTGGGGAAAAGCAAGGGAGCCAGGCCCAGAAGAAGAAGAGGATTGGGAACAACTGCAATAATTGAGCCTATACTCGTGCCAATCCAACATGCCGGCTGGGTCAGTTAAGTCATTCGTGCATTCTACACATCATTTCGGCCTAAAATGACTCGTGGAGGAAGAGGATGTTTCTGTGGAGGGCTTGAATGGGGAGAACCTAGACAGGTGTCTCCAATCTACACGAATCCAAACGATTTGGGCAGAGCAAATTGCGAACCTTGCGATGAGTTGGTGAGTGTAGGCCCGGAAAATGGGATTAATGAATAGCCGTGGCTGTCTCCTCGAATAGCCGAGCCAATTGTTGCGTTTTGCAACAATTGCGTGTGAGTGTGCTCGAGCCAGCGTCTGGTGAAGAGGCGGTCATGAGGCCGGGATAGACGAGCGAGAAGTTGTTAACGCCAGAGACGCGAGCCTCGCCCATGTGGCCAGTGTCGGGTAGCAGTGACTGAGCCAGTTTCATGGAGAACGGCCGAGAGGTGGTCGGATCGTCGTGAGATGGGCAGGTCAAGCTGCGCAAAGGAGGCAGTGGAAGTTCAGACGAGCTCAGACCTCCCGATTGCGACATGGAGGAAGGTGGCGGCGGTGGCGGAGGCAGAGGAAGAGGAAGGGGAAGTGGCGCCTCGTTGATCGACTTTGGAGTGTCCGGCCAGATGGCAGAAATCGCAATGTTGCCGTTAAAAGTGGAGGAGGCGCTGAGGGCTGAACCGGATGAAGCAGCAGTCTGGTGAGTGTGATAAAGGGGTAGGGCTGAGGAGTTGATGTCTTGACTGGGGGCGCCAGCAAATCCGTTGGGGTAGAGGTACTTAAATGAACTTGAGTTTGAGGCAACAACCGACCCCACCATAGTTCGAGCCGGAATATGATGATGATGATGGTAATGATGATGATATAGATTCTCATGCTGCAGTAGATGTGGTGCGGCCTCATAACCAGGTGCCGGGTTAGTGTAGTCGAAGAAGCCTGATGGAGGGGCGATGCTGATCAAGTCGTTCAAGTCCTGACTGCATGAGACAGTGGAGGTCTGCAGAGCTTCGTGGGCAGGGTCTGCAGAGGAACCTGCAAAGAGTAAAAGATTACACACTTCCTAGAAGTAGGTGAGCTTCGGTAAACTAAAGCTAGACACAATTGAGAAATACGTAGTTACGATGATTAGTAGATCAGTCGGTTAAGGTAATGAATATGATAGGTATTCACCCTATTTTCTCTAAGCTGATGAAGGACAGGTAGTAGAATTTTCCCACAATGATATGAATTGAGCTGACGTTTCACATGAATTTCAATGGAAACTTCAGCTCAACTTATATCATTGTGGGAGAATTCTACTACCTTAGACGAAATATGGTGAATACATCTCATATTACTGATTTACTGGAAGTCGCGAAACGATACTCCAATAGGAAAATTAGGTGATGAAAGACTGATAGTGAATTTTGCCACGCTGAGAGAAGTAGGCCTCCCAATGCCTTTAAATCTCATGAAGCTTTGCTTCCCAAAGCTATTCTCCTCCAGAATAGACTGCAGTTTTGAACCCGCTGAATCCCCTTATGCGACATAGTGATCACTACTCTCATTTATAATATACTGATTATGAAAGATCTACCCATTATGAAAAATAAATAACAAAGTCGGTTGTAATGGTAAAATGGAAGTTTAATGAGATGTATTCACCCTATTTCGTCTAAGTTGATGAAGGACTGGTAGTAGAATTTTCCCACAATG